AGCAGTAGATCTGAAGTTTAAGCTTAAGAGCTTAACCCATTAAGCACGTATAAAGTTTTAAGATCTGTGAGGTTATGCCCCGCGTAAATCCAATACACCTAGCGTACTGGGTCAACCACCCCGATGGTGGTCAACCTCAGGAGAGTACGCCCAGCGTACCAAAGGAGTACACCCCGCGTACTTTCTCTGTTGGGCTTATGTTATTTGGGTTCGGGTTTGGGCTGTTTATAGACTAGTTGGACCTGGGCCTTTGTTGGACTTTATGGATGTGGTGTTTTGAGCCAAGTCTTGATAATGGATCTCAGAATTAGGCCCAATTAGGGAGTTGGGCCTAATTTGGTAAATTGGGCAAATAATGGGTCTTACACATATGTGGAGTTGTGGATCATGGACTCGGTATTGGGCCTTGACCCAAATTAGAGAAAAGACAAAACGGACTATATGGACCCCGTAGTCAAAATTAATATCCTATATGTTGACTCAGCATTTGTGATTCTGGATAGTTCGGGATTTTCTGTGAAACAGCATTTCGGGAGTTGATACTTCAGTTCAGACCGATACTGCGAGGTGAGTTATCCTCACTATATTAACAGGGTCTAAGGCACCAAGGCCGACCCTTATGGATTTGTATTCGGATTATGGCATGTTATGTTATTGATTTACATCCTGGTAGTTAGGATGGAGATATGCTTATGCTTAGTGACCTGGTTAGGTCGGTGTCCTGGTTATAGGATGATGTTATGCTATTATGATCTGCTAGATCAGTATCCTGGTATATAGGATGATGTTATGCTATTATGATCTGTTAGATCAGTATCCTGGTATATAGGATGATGCTTTGTTAGTGACCTGGTTAGGTCGGTATCCTAGTTATAGGATGTTGCTATGCTATATGATATGTTAGATCAGTTTGTTTGTCTATTGACTGTTATGTGATTATCTGTTATATGTGCACATGATTGTTTGATTGGGGGTTGGGATGAGGCGGGTCCTGCTTTGTGCTGTAGGCCAACATACCCAGGGCGGACCGGATAGACTGCAGACCCGGGAGGGCATATAGTTAGGCCGAAGGCCCGACGAGCGGTCCGGATAGGCTGAAGGCCCCGAGAGGGCGGTCCAGACGTGCCGAGGCTCAGAGAGTGGGTCAGATAGACTGAAGGCCCGGTGCGGGCAGACCAGTCATACTGTAGACTCAGAGAGTGGACCAGGTGGACTGAAGGCCCGGTGCCGGCGGACCAGTCACACTGTAGACTCGAGATGCATGGTTGTTATGTATTTGTTGATATGATATGATTATGGTTATATGAGGTTGGTATTTTGGGGGTAACTCACTAAGCCTTCGAGCTTACAGTTTCAGTTTATTGTTTCAGTTTCAGCGGATGACCGCGGGAAGGCGAAGGCGTGACCGTACACTTCCTCGATTGATGATTATGATTTCTGGGAGCTCTGATGTTTAAACTGTTTTGAAAACAAATTGTAATAACCGAATGGTTTTTAAATGATTTAAAAAGTTTTAAATTGGCTCGAATTTTATGGGTGTTACATTTATTAAATTTTTTCGATAAAAAATAGGCCTTGACTTTTCAAAAAACAAAAAAATGAAGTGGGTTTTTCTGAAAAAAAAAATTCATTTTTTTGTACATATCAATAAGGATCTCTAGGGAAAGAAAACGAAAAATCATAAACAATGATATATTCGGTTTTTTTTTTATTTCGATAAAAACATGACCTAAAACAAAACTAAATGAAAAAAAGAAGTGAGTTTTGTTATAATTCGGTACATTTGCGTCAATTGTAAAAGTCTACAACCTTTTCTTTTGCCGTTGACCGCTTTAAATTTTGACACTTTAGATTGGTTCCTTGGTTCCTTGATTAATAATGATTATCTATTGAACTTTTCCTTATCTTCCTATTCTAATAAATAAATAGGTTTATTCTCTTATTGACAAATGTCATACTATTAGAACTCTTCATTAATATTATATGTTACCTATCATGTCACTTGTCAACCTATTAATTATCAATTTCAAATTTCAAATTTTAAATTTTACTCACTCTAATTACATTAAATTAATAATCGATTCTCTATTTTAAATTTCAAATTTTAAAATTTTTCAGTCTAATTATATTAAATTAATAACATTAGATTAAAAAATTAAATTAAATTAATACATATTATAAGGTGATATATCTTCACATATTTATTTAAATCAACGATTATAATTTTATATAACTAAATAAATATCTCTTAAGTAATAATTTATTTAAAATAATTTATTAATAATTTTGATTTTTTTAAAAACGATCACCAACTTTTTTAGGATCAATAAGATCACATTTTTAAGCCTCATTTTAGAGTTTATGTTATATTGAAAAAAATAAATAAAAATATGTAAATTTATCATTTTTCAACCTCTTTTCATATTGGATATAAGAAGGGGAAGTCGTCGGATCTGAAGTGTGGCTGGCTGTAATTAGGATTTCAGGAAAAGAAGGAAGGGGGGGGGGATACTTTATTCCTTGATACCATGTAGTATGTTGAGATTTTCCATAAATGATTATTGCGTTAACGAAGGATATAAATACATATAAAATACCCAATGACCTAGATAACGGTTAGGGGTGTAAATGAGCCAAATTACTCGAAATCGACCCGTAAAAAGCTCGACTCAAGATCGAGTTAAATGAGATCGAGCTTGGTATCATGTTCATTAATCAACGATCTCGAGTTGTCGAGCTCGATTGGGCTCCCGAACCTAAATGAGCCTATGCTTATTTATATACTGTAATTTTTATTTTTAGTTATATAAATTAAATTATTATTAGATAACTAAATATTAAATATTAAATATCAAATAATGATCGATGAACTTTTTAACGAGATTAAAAACACAATCGAACTTGATATTTGACTATTAACTAAACCGAGCTAGAGCCAAGCTTAAGTTGGCTTAGGCTCGTTTGATAAGCGAGTCGAATCCAAACCGAGTTTGAGATTTAAAAGATAAGTTCAAAACGAATCGAACTCAAATCCGAACCCCATAAATTTAAACTGATAAATCTCGACAATGTTTTAAAAACTGGTTTGAACCGCCCGGTCGAACCGGTTTAAACGGGAACCGGGAAAGGGAGCGGTTCAATCATCACCGAATTTATGCCTATTATTTCTAAACCGAAACGAACCGACCGCTTTTTACAAAAACCCGGTTGAACCATTTAAAATTTAACCGGTTGAACCGGTTAAATCGAATAAAAACACATGAATTGATATAAAACTTATGGTTATATGTTTTTTTAATGTATTTTGTTTGATCTACAAGTTGTTTTATGTTTAATTTTAATGTTTGAACTTATAGACGTCAAAATTTTGATTTATGTATGTATTTAGTATTTATGTGTGTAGGAAAATGAAAAAAAAATGAAAATTGTAGAAACAGCTTGACTCGACGGTCGAACTGGTTGAACCGAAAACCGATCACCACACCGATTCAATTAAAAATTTGGTTTTTAAACATTCGATACCGATGGTTTACACCCTTAAATGACGGTAAATACAAAATACAATACAACAACATAAGTGGCGTCTTAATACTTTTTGCTATTTTTAACTTTTAGTTTAGAAGTACAGATAGTCGTAAAGTTGAAATATATATGAAATTCGAACCTATTATATAATGTATTTTACAGCTTTTAATTAATTTGATTTATATCTCTTTAATTAACTTTTCATATTTTATTGTTGTAAATAAAATATACAGAAATCAATTAGTTTTATACTACTAAATAAGTGAGAATTATCACCGAAAAGGCGAAAATATATGTTAATTGATGTGAAAGTTTTCCAAAATATGAAACGAAGAAAAAGTTGGTGAACAGCCGTTTTGGCCGGATCCGGGAAGTACATATTATTCGTTGACTGGGCTTAACACGTAACCGAGTCAGTTTAACATGGCGACATGTCCCACTAAAGTTTCTAACACGGCCATCCACTTTTAAATTATTTTATTTACTTGTTTTTAGGTTTGATATTTAAATTTATAAGATTTAAAATATAGATAATTTCTATTGCTAGAACTTTACATATACGTTTGAGTCTTTGAGATTGGATGTTGTTGGACATATATGTGGGTTTGTGGGAGCCCTAAAAGCCTCCACAACTTGTGACTCTTGCAAACCCATTTAAAAGACTACATATTACACATTTGCATTTGCAAACCTATTTAAAGGACCATATATTACACATTTGCACACTTAAGATTATACTTGAAAGACTTGCAAACATAATAATTAACTGTTTTTTAAATTTACCTTTATTTTATTATTTAATTTACTTAATATATATTTTTATATAAATATATTTATATAATAGAGATCATTTAATTTATATGTTTAAAATCAATTATTATACATTATATCCCAGTAACATAAACTACTTTTTGGTGTTTTTTTTAGATTTTGAAATGTTTAGTTAATTAAATTAAATTTAAGTTTAGTATTATTGAATAATTACTTAATCAATAATTAAAAGTTTATTAAAAAAATTATTATTGATGTGACAGTAAGATTATTAATAAAACATAATTGATATTTAACTGATGTAAACACAATTAAAAAAATGAATGAAATTACATATTAATTATCTAAACACATAATATGCATTGGGGTTTACATTAAGATCACCTTGAGTTTTAAAAGGGTTAAATTTTAAAATAATAAATAATTTTATGAGTAGTTTATTATAATATTTTATTTATAAATTAAAGATTATATATTTTAAAAACGTTACTTATTGCATATGATTTTTCATTATTACAATTTAAGATTTTTTAAATATATTTTTTTATTAAAAAAAGACCAACATTGTATAGATTATTAATATGATATGGAATTATATACATATTAATTCTCGTGAACAGGAAACTTTTAGGATTTAGATTTGTGCCACACAATTTTCTGGGTTTTATACATTTGCCACAACTCTTTTTTAGCCCCCGCCTCCTTACCTTCCAGTCATAAATCCTCTACCGACTCCAATATTTTTGCCCTCAATCTGTTTTCCCTCTTAATTTTCATTCCCACCTCCATCAACACACCACCGTCGACCTTGCCTCCCTCATCCTTCCTCCACCCTTCCTCCAACGCCGTTCCCCTCTCCGATGTAGAAAAGAGACTCCTTTGCGGAGAACCGACAGAGAGAAGATGCTTTTCTGCTTCAAACCTCAACCAGAAGACGGAGTTAGTCGATGAGATCGAAGAGGGATATATCGAGAGGAGAAGAGTGGAAAGGGACAGCTTCCCGGTTGCTCTGTTCCGACCTGGAACATAGTCTAACTCCCTCTGTACCCCTAAATCCAGACAGCAGCAACCCGTTCTTATGTGGCTAACTACCATCCTCTTTTTATTCTTCTCAGAGAAGTTATGTGTGTGAATTTAGGATATGTTAATAGTTGCTTATCGTTTTTTTATATTCCAACAGGGTGTCCTGCGCCTCAGCCGCCCGCCCCTCTTTTTCTGTATATCTGTCTCTTTTATTATCGGTCAACATATCGGCTAATCAGCTGATAAAACCAATCTTCTCTTAGTGGATGATCAATTTTTACTTTCTATTTTTATGCTTTTGGAGAATTTTATGTGGGTTTGATGGTTTTTTATGATTTGAATTGGCTTGATGAGCTTTTCAGTGTTTATTTTTGTTCTGTGAAGCAAGTTTTATTATTTAAGATATAAAAAACAATTTATTTTGGTTTGTTTTGGCTGTGATTCACTTCTCTGTATACCGTCACTTCCTGATCCTCTTCACTGCTTCGAAAAATATGGTATGAATTTTTTTTACGATTTTGCCCCCCTTTAATTTATTCTTGTATATTATATAAAATATAGAATTTGTCAGTTTACAAACAGGTAATGGAAGTATCATGCGTTAGAGAAACCTCATTATTAATCTAATGAGATCTTGTAGAGATGGACATCAACTTTATAGTCACTGGTAACTCTTTTACTTTTCAATTATTAACATTTTTTAAAAAAACTTTTTTATTTATATCTTTAAATTCCTTTTGTAGGTCAAGAATTTAAGAATTGGTGTCATGATGAGAACTGTTCTTCCTTTAGTTTTTTCCTTTGCTGATGATTCCAAGATTAATTTTTTACGGTTGTGGTTTTTTACTGATAATTATTCTATTTTTATTAAAGAGGATCAAACTTTTAGTTGATTATTATTGTTTCTTTATAATCTTTACTCTTCAAGATTTGCTCATCTCTTCTTTGATCGATAAAGGGGTTCAGTTTTTCTCATCAACATTATCAATGGTTCCAAGCATACCCATTAAGCCAATGTTTGCAAAGTATACACAAATATTACTCTTATTTTATAAGAAAAAACAAAAACTTACTTGGTTGATTGTTTACAATGTTACAATGTTTATGTTATAGGATTGCTAATGGGATATGACTCCCTGAAGTCTTGAAGCTATTTCAAGGAACAACCTTTACTTGCGAATTTAAGTAAGTCCTTTTTTATTTCATAAATTATTTATTTGTTAATTTGATAACTTCTTGCTTTATATTTATAGATATTATGGTCAACGTGCCCAGTTTCACAATTACTTTCATGCCCTTTAAGTGATTCCAGAATCTAAGCTTCACTTTTAAAGTCAGAAGACTAGCAATCTACTTGTGAAAAAGAGTTTGATGATAGCTAACTAGAATTTAATGAAAAAAAATTGATTGGAAGGTTACGATCAGATTTGCAGCTTACTTTCATTTGAACAAATGGTGTAGAAACAAGAGCCTTTCTTTTTAATTCACATAAATATAGATTTTGATTTTGGACTCTTTTTTTTTTTTTTAATTTTTTTAATTTTTATTTTATTTTAAAGATTAAAACTTCGTAATTAAAATGTTGAGTACATTGTTAAAAAAACGCCTACTATACTGCTGAAAAGTAGCAACCTAAGTTTACTGAAAAGAAAATGGTTACTCGTGTTCTTTTTATGATTAATTGGATGGATTTTATAGTTGAAAAGTTTCTCTCAGTACTCCTTTTATGTTCTTAGTTGCTTCTTCACTTAAAGGTTAGTTATTGTTTAAAATAGTTGATTTATGATTCACTAAGTTTTCTGTAAAAGTGTATTTTAATTGTTCTTTGTATTTGATTGCTAAGGAGAGTAGTTGATAGTTTCTATTTGATAGTTTTTTTTTAAATATCTTTCACAAACTTTAAATCTGTTTTTTTATAGGTAAATCAGGGGATTGCTATTTACGGAAATAAACGGAGCTCAGACCAGCATGCGTACGTTTCAAGAAATTAGTTTCAAGAAATTAGTTTATTCCATCTTTGTAATCGTTTATATTAATCAATAATTTCACTTATAATTCATATTTCGTAACAGATATATACCACAACTGAGAGAGGGGTGTCTTGTGGTGACTATCTGTTTGGAATGAGAATGAATGTTACGGGTATAAGAAAACCACTTGCTTTAGTTCCATTCCAATCCTTCAAAGTTTTCAATAGTTTCAATTTTGTCAATAATTTATGAAAACACATATCAAATTACATTTTTATGTATGAATTTCAGTTGGGGATCATTGATATGGAGTGTGAGCTGATTGATTCTGATAATCTATCAAATCAGATAAGAACAATAAAGTCATTTAATGTTGATGAAGTTATGGTTGATACATGTTGGGGAATTGTAGAAGCCAACACTACTAATTGATTATCTTATAATTTATGTGTCTTTTTTGACCTGTGTCATGCATGTAGATCCCCACCTCTTTTGATTGTCTTTTGGTTCGGGAAGTGAATGTATGTTCTTTCATAAATAAATAAAAAATTTATCAACATTTACGTGATGGTGATCCAACCCAGCGCCAAGGGCGCCACTAATTCCTGCTAGTTTCATATTAATCTATGTTTACGTGCCATGGCACATACAAAATGAAGTTTCAACTAGGTATACATTAGCTCACCTCAACTAAATCATCAAAGTCTAACAAAAAGGCACTTTGTTTCGTTGGAAAAACTTAGAATGACCGTAGCAGGATGAAAGAAAAGGTCACGTCGTGTCGGGTTCTACATGGAGAATAATTCGAATGCTTGTTATCATCAACAATGAAGTCTTTGTTGTCTGTTTGAGCAGCGAACTCGAACTTCACTTGAAAAATAGGAGAGGGTGGGAGGGGGGGGGGGGGGTGTTAGTTGTACATTAAGAGTTGTAAAGTAAAAGAGGAAAATAATGCATATCTCGTACATGGGGTAAAGGCGGGTGTGTGTGTGTCTATATATATATATATATATATATATATATATATATATATATATATATATATATATATATATATATATATATAAAAGTTGTAAATTTGATGTAATTAAAACTTAAACTAACAAAATTAAACTAGAACATTATAAAATAAAAGAAGAAGATTTGAGAGGATTCTTGAATGCTTAGAAGATTGTATTCAAGATGGTGTGTTTATTTCTTTCACATTTGATGGGTATTTATACTACTTATATTCCTATTCTTACATCATCAAAATAGTAACTAAATAGTTAAAGGAAATTATTTGAAGGGTGAAAAATGTTCATCCACATGCTCTGTCTAACTCAATAGTTTTATGACTTTTATAATACTCCCCCTTGGATGACTTTTTTTTCAAATCTGAGTTCAACATTGAAGTATTGCCTCATTAAAAACCTTCTTAAAGAAAACCCAGTGGAAAAAAAACTTTAACGGAGGGAAAAAGAGTGTAGTATATAGTTGACTCCCCCTCATTTAGACATCTGTTACGTTACATGTTGTAACGCCTGCGTTTCTGGCTAAACATTCGTATGATGATCTAATAGTTAGGGTCAACAATTGTAACCTATTTTGAAGTAATGAAGAAGAATTATTTGAGTATTATGTGATTTATGTGATCTATGTGCAATATATGTGCTTATAACGATGTAATAAAATAATAATAAAAATATGCATCAAAAATAGAATGAAGATTTTACCCAATATCTTTAAAGAAAGCCGAAGTAGTCGTAATAAGGATTTCAGGGATATAAGGAACGCTGAAATCTGATTTATAACGAAGAAGTTATGACCCGTCGAAGTTTTGCGACAAAACCGGCACGACATTGTGTATCGTAAAAAGTGAGTTTGCGATAAAATAATTTTTAGTCTTAGCGATCTAAACAAAAGTCGTAGTATACGTTAAACCGAGAGCGTGCATATAGAGAATGTCCAAATCTGACTTCGTTAGAGGAAGTTGTGATTTTTCTAAGATTTGACATAACAGTATGTAGCCCGGAAATCAAATTTTAGATCGATCGATTTTTAGCCGACACAATCTAGACTAGAATCGAATGAACAAGTTCTTCACATGTTCAACGATATGGGTTATCAGCCGGTTCTTACCAAGATAAGTGATTTCAAGAAGTCCTGCTTACCTTGTATCTGGAATTTTCTGTTTGGAATTTACCTTCGATGCTTGACTGGTCGAAGCGTTGGATTAGATAAAGCAAAGCTGGATATTTATGCGTTGGTTGCAGGTATCTATTACGATCTACCTGTTGATTACACTACTCAGTTGTGGGCTGAGTTTGTGAAGATCATTGGGAATACGAATGTTGTTCATGGGATTTCATGTGCTCGATACTGGAGCTTGATTCTTCAATATGCATATGAAAAGGAAGGTATTTTGGTTCCCGAAGGTGAACAAACGGCTGAATTCTCATTATATCATTTTCCTAAGACTGTCGAAGATGATCAGGATACGTTTCCATCTGTTGCAAGAATTCCAGATGGGATGCATCACAAGGTTGATCCCAATAATCCTATTTTGGTGGCGTATTTACAGACTATCAATCCATCGATTGAAACTAGTGTTTTATTACCAAAATGCACTAGTGGTCCATCGAAAAGAGGAAGGAATCAAAGAAACAGGATAACGGGAGTCCTGCAAAACCTAGTCTTGAACCAGTGGAGAAGGTTGTTAAAGTTACTCCAACGAAGGTGGTTAAGTCTGATAAACCACCGAAGCAAGTTCAAATGCCCGTTGTTGAAGAATCTTCTTCACCTGCCAAGGAGGTGATGCCTTCGAAATCTGGGGTCTTGAAACGATTGAAGAAAATGGATAAAAGGCCTCGTCATTTACCAGAGAGGTCTAGTAGTTTTTATCCTAAAGGTGTACCGAAGATCACTCGTAAGCCTCAACTCAATCGCAAAGGTGTTGTGATTCGTGAAATTCCAACTCCTGTGTCTCTTGCATCGAAAAAGCGAAGAGCTGAAGATATGGCAAAGAAGATTACCAAGAAGAAGAGGAAAGTGGTGATTAAAGATGATGACGAAATTGTACCAGAATCGCCACTTTGCGATGATACTTCATTCATTCCATCACCAAAGAGGGATTCTCCAATCAAGTCGAATGTCGAGGCGACTGGAGATCTTGATGGCTCTGTGAAAACATCTAATGTGGACACAACCATTAATCAAGGTGATCATATGAAGCAATCCACTCCTGAGAAGACGGTTTTCACACCACCCGGAGTTTCGAATGTCGAATCAGTTTCTGAGTAGGTTCGAACTTCAGGCATCACTACGAACATATCTCATATGGATACAAATGTCAACAATGGTGAAGGAGTATCAAATAACGAAGCTCAAGGTAATCCTAATCTTATTATATCATCTTCCTTCGAAACAACTATCATTACACCCCACTACTTCTTTACCACCATTTGTTTCTACTGTTCCCACAACTTTACCACAAACTACTCGTTCTCCAACTTTTGATCAAATCCTTCAACAACCTATTACTTCTTTATTTCCATCCCAATCCACTGATGGCCCTAAAACAGTTAATGATGATGACACCACTGAAGATGGTGAGTTTACGGGTATCTTTGCGGATCTCGAATTTGATCCGGAGAAGGAAAACATACCAGATCATATGTTAATGTCTGGTAAACAGTTCAAAATTCTTAACATGAAGTTGAACTTGTTATTAAAACTTCAGGCGGATGCAGGGGGTCGTCATTCGATATCTGGCATAGAAGTTGATGTTATACTCAAGTATCAAGAGCTTCGTCTGAGAGATGAGTTGGAAATTCTCGATAGAAACAATGAAAAACGTGTCAAGGCTCAATCCCCGTATTTTGATCAGGAATTGAAAGAACTGAAAGCTGCGGCGAAAGAAAAACATATTTTATATGTTCAAGCAGTTAAGAAAGTTCGAGAAGATGTTAATTTTAAACTGGAGGAATTAAGGGTAGATATGGCGAAGGAATTTGCTACTATATATCATGATTATTCTACTATTCACAAAAAATTAGATATCATTGTAGATGCAGTTACAAACATTGGTTCATCCCAAAATCATTGATTGCGGAAATCATAGGTGTGTGCATTGCGATCAATCCGATCCCTTCCTTTCCAAATCGATGATACCTGAAACCAAAACTGTTTACCGTAAGCACAAAGCTTAGTGAGTCCCCCAGAGCATACCCCACACACAATCCACAATCCACATATCATATTAGCTATAAAAGCTATCTCTACCACATACGCCCTGCATATAATCATAAAAGGAAGCCATGGAAACCCTCCAGGGTCTTACACCTAATGCCACGGGAACCCCTACGTGGCCTTATCTGCCATGGGAACCCCCACATGGTCTTCCTGCCTTGGGAACCCCCACAAGGTCTTCCTGCCTTGGGAACCCCCACAAGGTCTTCCGGTGTAACATACATGTTGAGTTATCGTGTTTTGTTTAAAAATGAATATTATTTAATATATGATTTTGAGTGTTGAGTTCTAACAAGATGGTTTTATGAAGACTTGAAGTAAAACTATGTTTAGAATCATTCGAGAAGTATTGGAAGTCGTATGAGATTCCAATCAAAAGTCAATTATCGAAATTAACGAAAATATAAAGTTGGAAATAAATAAAAATAATGTTATTGAAAGTTGTAGATTATCTCGTTAGAAACATTTTGGCGAAAACCTCATCGAAATCCGAGTTATAACGAAGAAGTTATGACCAATCGAATATCCGCGACAAAACCGACAAAACCGAAAAAACACTATTTAGCGTAAAAAGTGAGTTTTCGATAAACTACTTTTTAGCTTTAGTAATTTAAATGAAAGTCATAGTATTCGTTAAACCGAGAAATTGCATAAAAAGAACGTCCAAATCTGACTTCGTATGAGGAAGTTATGATTTTTCTAAGTTTCAGTATAGCAGTATACAGCTAAAAACTTGAAATAAAGATCGATTGATTTTTAGCCGACACAACCTAAACGAGAATCGAAGGTCTCGTCAATAGTAGTACAACGGTAAAAAGACAGACGAAAACGGACACCGGATGAAGAAGTTATGAATTTTTAACGGATTTTCCTGTCCCGGTCTGTTAAAAATAATAATATTAAAAATAAAGTCAAAATTAGCCAACAGAGTTTAAACGAAAGTTGTAGAGTATAATCTCGCCTACGCGTGCTTATAAAGAACGTCGAAAACGGAGCTGGTATCCGAAAATTATGAATTTTTGAAGTTTGGGGCACAAAATCCGAGAAATTTCGCATGCATGGCTCGGAATCGGCCACGTTGCCCCACTTCGCATGCCTGCCCCGTGTCCGACGCATGTCGCAGAACCTCGCATTTGAAGGCGCGGCCCAATTGAAGCTTGACGTGTTTTATCGCGGTGGCGAGTACGAGATCCGATACCTGGCTCCTCGCATGCGAGCCGCGTGTCCTTCCTCCTCCCCTCGGAACCGAGCCCTCACACCATATATAAGGGAGGTGCAAACCTCC